CTTCATTTTCAAAAACTGACAATTACTACAGTCACCATCATCGCCCCGGCAAAGCCTGCAAAACTCACGATTGCATGTAACACATGAAAATTCAGCGTCCGGGTGCCTACGGTCGTTGGGGTCATCGAGGGCGCAAATCTTTGGCACACCTGGGCCACCGGCACCGGGAGCGCCTCTTGTGGCCGGTGCTGAGGCCTGTCCACGATCAGATGGAGCTCCAGGGGCCCTCCACCTCTCGCTGGGACTCGGGACGTCTGCACTAGCTCTGCTCCCAGGAGTTTTTGCAGTCATCGCCGGGACTCTGGGTATCGGCATGGGCCCTAATACTCCTACCACCTCCTGAATGACGGTCTGGGTTCGGAGAGACGTCCCCGCTATCGCGGATCGGTCTATCCAGGTTCGGAGAGATGCTCCCGCTATCGCGGACCGGCCTCTCCACCCTTGATTGCCGACTTCGGACCTCAGACCCCCTATTGGGAACGGCATCAGGCCTCGGGCTCCTGTTCCTACCCACATCCCTATTGGGAGAAATAGAAATGTCCCCCCTTGCACGCGCGCGGGGACCATCCGCGCACGCCCTGGCGGCGAATGCGACCTGTCAGGCAACCCCCGAGCCCTCCTGCTTCTGCTGTCGGACCTCTCCCTAACGGGATTTATGGGATGCCTGTCTGCACGAGAAGGATCGACCCTATCGGGCACATTCGGCAAAACATGGTGAGGCAAACCAACGCCTCCGCCTGGTCCCACCGGACGGCCAGTACCCCGGCCGTCACCTTCCCCGGGTGTGGGCGTCGGAGACCTGATCCTATGTCCCTGCCCCGCAAATGCATCGTAACCAACATTCCGTCTCTCTCTGGGTTGTTGAGGAGCCTCATTAATCTGCTGGACACCCTGAATGATGCCAGCAGCCTCGTCAAATTGACCCTCCATTTCAAAGAGCTGAGACATGATTCTGTTGTTCATTGCGCTAAGATTACGCACGTTACCATCGATAGCGCTGACTCTCCGCATAACGCCTTCAAGCGTACTCCGGAACGAGCCGAGTTCTCGCCTAACGGCAGGCTGCACTTGGTCACTGCTTGCAGGAAGATTACGGATCTGTCCTTGAATGTTATCAACGACCCGATTCACAATTGCCGATCTCGCTTCATACTGTTCAACATGTGATTTCACGGTCTCAAACCTTGAAATGATGTCGTCATGATCCCGACGTTGACGTTGAATTCCTCGAGCCAGATCCTGGATCTTCCGATTGACCTCGTCAATAGCCTCATGCCAGTCCTGCGGGGAATCATGTTCTGATGGTCTATCGACCTCCTGAGACCCCCTTCCACTCTGCAGCCTCGACACTCGATTAACAAGACGAGTGTGCTCTTCATTGATCCCTTCAATAGACTCAGAGGCCCACTTGGCAAACGTCTCGTGTTCAAGGAGAGCTTTCTCGATCTTCAGGTTTAACTCCCTGAAATTTGCGTCCACTACACTGCCGCTGGCCCTATCGGACGGATGCGCGACAGGATTCGAGTTCCATACACCTGCTGGTGTCCGCATCCCAACGGTTTTCTCTACCGAGAACATCCGTTTCTCAAGCTTGTCCAAATCCTTAAGGATCTCGTCCTCAGAAGCAGCATGGCTTCTGCGGGCAGCCTCACTATTCTCCTGAATCATCTGGCGAAGCCGATCAGTCGATGCCTCATTGCCCTTGACAGATTCATGAACCTCGTGGGACAGTAGGTTAATCCTCTGCTCCACGACCTCGGCTCGCTCATCGATGGCTTGCCTCACAATGGCCTTGCTATCGGGAATAACTTCCCTTGCGAACCGTTGAACTATCATTCGCATCCTCCCGGCATCAGACTGAGTCGCAACCTCAGCTGCCAGTCGATCGACCTTGTCCTTCGTCTGTTGATTCTCGTCGCTCCACTCCCTTCGCATGGAACTCACTTGACCGTTCAGTAACCTGATTTGGTCAGCAAAGATATGGAACGCTTTCGCGACTGAGCCAGAAACCTCACCTCTCTCGAGCATCTCCTGGATGTGCAAATCGAACACCTCCTTTGCCCTAGCGTCACCTGATTCACCGGAAGAATGAGACCTGAGTGCTGGAGGAGTCGATATCTCGATCCTCTCAGGGGCCCCACTAGCCCTAGCATATCTTCTGGGGTCATCCACAGACCCCAGATGGCCTGCTAGGGGTAGACCCCCTTCTACGGCTATCGCCGGAACGGGGATCAACATGGGACGCACGAGACTCGGGAGTAGAGTGGATGTGAACATCAGCAGGATCAGGCATCTCCTCATCCTGCGGAGTTGAGTCCATTGGTGAGGGGCTAGCCCTCCTCGCCTTCGACCTATCGGTCTCAATGGCCAGGGGTGACGGTCTCTTCGCAGAAGCACTACGTTCCCTGGCGGTCGAGCCCCATTGAGGTGTGAACTCGTTGCTAGACCTTAGCGTTTCAAGGTCACTGGTATCTCGCCCTAACGGGCTAGCGATCGACGGACGATCCTCGATTCCGAGTGCATCGGCAAGCCGGCCATCTCTTGCACCTCTCCCAACGACATCGGCAACCCGCTCAGTGACCCTCGGCGAACCAGTAACCCGGTTCGAGTTCACGTCTCTCTGATTTAACGGACCTCCAAACGTAATGTTGGGAAAAGGGGGAACATTCGGGGTATCACCAATCGCCGGGGGACCTACCGGTCCCTCACGGTCATGGATGGCCTCCAATCCCCGAAGAACTTCCCGACTGTCCCTGGCTCTCTCTCTCTCGCTTCGGGCATCCCTGTCAACGCGAAGGTCCCTGGCGGCTCCACGAGAGAGGCTCCTGGGCCTCGCAGCATCACGGATCCTAGCATTTCGTCGTGGTTGGTCCTCCTCCTCATCACGGCGATCCGCAAATGCGGCATACTCGTCATCATCATCGACCTCAAACTTGGCAGCGGCGGGACTAGTCCTTGCAGTCGCACGGCTGCCTGCATTTCGGCGCGAATGGCTCTCCTCCTCATCCGCAAAATTGTAACCTTCGCCATCATAAGACTCAGATTTGGCAGTATTAGGGTTGGGCCTACCGGCATCAGATCCCTGCTTTGAGCTACTGCCCCAACCTGCGGTTGATTTCAACAGATCATCGTATCCGAAGTCCGTGCTCCTCGTGCTCATCAAACTGACCTGGATTCTGAGAACCAGTGGATCGGCCCGGGATACCTCCCGGAGCCAGAACCTGGAACAAGAGATCTCGGAGGTCGAATCGGCATGGCCTCCGGGTCATCCGAATGAGGGCGGGCCATGTCCATCGCCATGCTGATGAAGTCAAAACGTCCACGCCTGTGACCTGATTCAGAGCCACTCCTATCGGAGTAAACCCTTCGTGTCTGCTCGTCATCAGTGGCCTGGCGGAAAATACGATCATCTCCATCGTCGGCGTACCTGCCACGGCCCCTGGGTGTATCCCTACCGGGATCTTCACCCCTGCGGTCCTGACCTGTCGAACCTGCTTCGAAATCCTCGTAGTCATAGTCCGGTAGGTCCTCACCTGAGCGGAGGCCACCTAGGATGGCCTCCTCATCCACGACGCTCCTTCGAGATCGTGGGGTCGACATAGAGCTTGTAGTTGATGGTCTCAAGCGCGTAGGAAAGTCCTACGGCTGATAACCTGTGATTCGGGCACGAGCCTGTGCCCAGGCAATGGGTAAGTTGGGGTAAACAAGCCACAAAAGAAAGGTTCCCCAAAAGCAAACCAATCCCCGGTCCCAAAGATCAGGGTTTCCCACACACCAGAGAACAACAACCAAAGGAAAACAAACCAAACAAGAAAAGGGTTAACCCGCAACCTTGGTCGACAACAGGCCGCACGACTGGTCCCTACCAACCTGGCGGCGGCCCGAGGTCTCTTTCTCCCCCGAGATGCCGTCGGTCGACGCAGGGGTTCGGCGACGCCCATTCGAGGCGCGACGGAACCCAAAACTTGAGCCAAAACACCACAGGTCGGTCACTAACGCGACGTTCCTGATGATGATATGAACCATGGCTAATCACAAAGATAATTAGTTTTGTGTCTTGCTCGCGTGTGCAATGAAAACCAAGTGCTGTGCCCCACCAATAGCGATGAAGGGAGGGGCAAATGATAGATGAGATCCTGCTTTTTTAGCTAAAAAGGTAGGTCATGCAGGGGGGGTGAGCATATATATATATACACATATATATATATAAATATATACATATATATATATATACATATGAGCAATCAAACGCCTGGGTGCTACCAAAATGGGAATGGGTGCAGGTAAGCCCTAAAGGGAATCAACCAAGAATTAGTGTCCCTACAGAGATTACAATAGCGACTGCGCAGGCTGATCACCATGCTGTTTGACGTCTGCGTGCAAATCAATGCGCCCTGCGTTTCGCCCAAGGGGGGTGAATATGAACAGCGGACAAAAAAATGTTCTCTAAGACGATCCCTGGCTTTTGATTCCCAAACAAACCATTAGTTGCAAGGACCCCTACTCTCCAGCGATCCCAAAAGTGGAGGTTTGGTTTCAGGAGCATGGTCTTCCAAGCCATCCTCATTAACAAGCGGGTCATTTTACGAGGCTTCCCTTCAAACCAGCCATCCCAGCCATCGCCGGCTTTCTCGTGAAATCCCCGCCGCGAAACTTGCTGGTGCTCGGCACAAAAATGAGTTGGAATGAACCTGAAGGGATTCCCTTCAAGGTTCGAAACCACCAGCAAGGGATGGTTTAAATCGGGGTCATTCCATTCCCTCATTCCCACCCCATAGGGAGGGTTTACATCGGGGTCATTCCCTGCGTCTCTCGCACCGATCGCAAGATGAAAACAGCAAGATCCAAAAAAAGTACTAAAAAAAAAAAAAGATTATAAAAAAAGGCCAGGATTAGAAACAATGCGATATTGTTTCTTCTTGAAAAGAATAATAATAATAATAATACTAATAATAATACTAGTGAAGCTGGCCGGATGCTCCCCCCGCCGAGGTGTCGAGGCGCTGCTCCCCAGGCGCGTGGAGGGCCGCCGGGCCCAGGCCGCCGACGGGGACCGCGGCTGGCGCGTCTCCACGGCGGCGCGGACCTGCGCCGCTCCTCGCTGCGCGGTTCGCCGGTTGGGCGGCGGGGCGAGGGCTCGAGGGGGCGAGGCTTCGAAGGCGTCTTGGGAACTGAAGCTTGTTTGCAGTGAGATAAGATTGAAGGGTTCTCAAAGCTAAGTTTGAAGGCTTCTGTGGTGAGATATGCAGAACTGGTTGGGAACAAGTTAGTGGTTAATAGTTGATTTTGTGGCGCAAGATTCCAGAATTTAAGTATTGCATGCCTTGTATCTACTTTATATTCTGCAAACAGAGTTGCAGATAAAATGGTGAATTCACTCACTACGATTATAGGATTGGGATTATTATCATGATATAACCATTGTTGCGGCAGCCGGCGGGGATGCGGCTGGTATTCGGCTACTGGCCGTCAGCTCGGTTTGACCCGCCCAAAACAGAAGGGAGACGTTCTGAAGAGAGCATGCCCAAGCCCAAATGAATGCTGCAAGTTGCAGAAACCTGGGAATCTGACACATTTACTGGACCCATTTCTACCTGCAAGGCCACTGGAGGGCGGTTTTTGCGGTGCGGGTGTAGGGCTGCCAGCTTTCCGATTTCCCCCCCCCCAAAGCGCATCATCAGGGTGAATCTGCTTTTTTCGCTTGCGGCAGCAAAGCCCATCCTCACATGAGACCCACACAAGAGCAATGCTTGTTATTTACACACATTTGTTGCTTGAACATCCTTGCAACAGGTCCGACTTGTCAATACTTTGATTGCACCGCATTCGAAGCGTGCCCCGGTCAATTGGTCCAAACCCTTGTGGTTGGGACCCCCTTAATTACGGGTCCTTTCCCTTTGGCTTGCCCCTAAACCAGCTGAAACAACAGGTACCCTCAGAAACATGGCCAACAAACCACCGGGTACCAGCTAAAAAAACAAATGTACCCTCAGAAAAAACATGGCCAACAAACCACCGGGTACCGGCTAAAAAAAAAATGTACCCTCAGAAAAACATGGCCAACAAACCACCGGGTACCACTAAAACAAATGTTCCCTCAGAAAAACATGGCCAACAAACCACCGGGTACTAGCTTGGAAAAAGAACAAAAAAAGTCTACCCTCAAAAAAAAACATGGCCAACGAAACCCAAACCGATTTCCAGATCTTCGGCGCACGTCCTTTTCACCTCGAGGGGAGGAAACCCCCCACGCCTCACGCGCAAACATCCCATGGCTCCTTGGGCCAGGCGTTGCTCCGCGGTCACCTTGGCCGAGTCCAGAGCCTGACGGGCGGCTTTGGGGTGCCAAACAAAACCCGAGTTGCACGTTCGACTGGTCGAAAGGTAGAACCACCTAAAAGGTTCTACTAGTAGAAAGGTAGAACCACCTAACTTAGTAACTTGACTGTTGGTAGAAAGCTAGAAAGGTAGAAAGGCTTACAAAGGTAGAACCACCTACTCAAAGCAGGTCTCCCAGCTGAAATGTTTGGCAAAGCGCTGCTCAAAAACCTCCCTTGTCGCAATTCCCTCTCAAGCAGGCAGCCGAAAAAGAAAGAGACCGCCCCAAAATGGGGGGGGGCCCTTCATTTCGATCTCTCGCGACAAAAAAAAAAAACTGCGTGGCACACGCATCGAGCCCGGCGGACCGCGGCCCGCGGCCCGCGCCTCCATGAATTTGCCCCCAGCCTTCTGCAGCGCCGCCTGCTTCTCCGGGGACAAGGCCGCGGACGGCCATTTCAACCACCCATAGCCTGGCTGCCCCGCAACTGGCGGAAGCTCAGAACCTAAAAGACGAAAACGCGCAACTGCCCAAAAAGGAGGCCGCCACCCTTTGGTTGCCAACCTCACGTCCACTGACGGGGTGGTAACCCTGCTCCAAAGTGATGCAGGGGACACCACCCGTTTGTTCGTAGCCAACCAGTTTTTCGCAGCCAAAGTCATCTGCCGTTCTCCAAGCCTGCCAGTTTCGAGAAAACGACACCTCAACGAACCCGGCCTGACCCAGCCATACGGAATGGAGATGGTCAGGCAGCCATGGCATTCTGGCTGGCCAGAGCCTGCATTTGCCACAGTAAACACCTTGCTGCTGGTGGCTAAGGAACTTGGCTGTCGCAACCAAAGTCTCAAACTAAAAATAAATCGAATGGCTGGGTTTGCTTGCGGGCCATACTAAGTTTCACGAGCTGGGCAAGGTGTGTCCGTGTTTGTTCTCGGAAGAGTCAGGAGGTGCAACCACAAGAGTCTGCTGATTCCTGATTGAGCCAGCAGGCACACATTCACAGCAAAAAGATCCAGGCGTGCTAGTCAGGTAGAAGCGAGTAGTTGTCGGAGGAGCAACATTAGCAGACCGCTCAGCAAATTGATCGCCCTCCCGGAATAACATGATGCGACATGAGAGCGAGCTTCTGTGGGGTGTGGATGCTACAGTACTGCAAAGCGCCGAGCATGGATCGGCCCAGGAAAGCTCGGATCAAGAGGTGGCACGGGATCAACATCTTACAAATTGAAGGAACATCCCAAGTGCGGATCTACACCAGGTTTCTCCAAAAACCGGGGCTCCACTACCCCATCTGGCCAATCAGATAGATGCCCCCATCCGCCTTCGCCCCCGCGCGCATTCTCCGAAATAACCTGCCGCCGCACAGACATGGCCAGCCATCTCATCCTGTGTTTCTTGGTTGAATGAGAAGAATGGTGTGAACAAAGACTAACTACTAAATCCATTGACAATAAGAAACAAGGATATCAAGAATGCACTTCATAGTCTTACCTTCAGAATATTGAGACAGAATTGGAGAATAAGGTAAGCGTGGAAGGGGAAAATGCATCTGCTTGCTATCATTATCCTGTTCCTCTGCTACCACCACCACCACCACCACCACCGCCACCACTTCTTCGTCGTCGTCGTCGTCTTCTTCTTCTTCTTCTTCTTCTTCTTCTTCTTCTTCTTCTTCTTCTTCTTCTTCTTCTTCTTCTTCTTCTGCTTCTTCTTCTTCTTGAGTCCTTGTCTTCTTCGATCCTGCCGCTGTCTACAGAGTGCAGGCCAGCAGGAAGAACCCCGCAGTATTGGGACACTGCAATGAGCCTCCTTCCGAATGATTGGATTCCGTTTACTCCTCCAAGAATCAACCTCCTCCAGGTGGTGTGTGTCGGCTTTTTGTTTCTCGGTAAATGGGGCGGTCTGAAACAACAACAAAATCGCCCAGGGTGGCTCCACGGCTTTGACGAGGTTGGATCACTGGTCTAACCCCCCCCCCCCGCCACCCCCACACTCATGGCAAACGCGCGCTGCGCGCCGTGCCGGCGGAATCCAAGACGATGAGCCGAGGTGCCTGGCGTTTCTGCTGGCGTGAAAACGCGCACCGCCAGCTAGCTGGTGCGATAGGTAGGAAATAATCCAGGATTTTTGAAATGAGCCGGTTTTGGGGATTCCCTTAAAGGGAACCATACATGGGGGTCATTCCAACTCATTCCCTGCTGAGAACCAGGAAGAACAGGCCTGTCTCGCTGTTGGTTTTGAACACCTGGTATGTACTGGTCTTGCAGATGCTCGTCGCTGGGAATTCCGTGCACAAGGCATGTCATGTCTTCAAAGGCCATCATCGCCAAGAGAGTTCCGGTCGGTGGAGTCCAAGTGTCTCGTTCAGTTTGGCCTTGAATGCGCATCCGTGTTGGACATGTTCGGTGACAAAACTTTTTAAAAGCCACAGCCGTCACGTCCACCATCAGGGCCTCTGTGATGCAGTACTTGGTGAAGAGCTTTACGATGACCTCCCGGTTCTTCAACCTCGGACTCCGGCTATGCTCCAAAACCGAAAGGTTGTGATAGGCTTGTGGCAGGGATGGAAAGGGGTTATGGTTGCGAGGGACGTGAAGTCTCACTCGTGACATAGTGATCTTCCCCACCGGCCCCATGATGTTGACACAGTCACCCCACCAGTGGGCTAAAGGGAAACACGCCAGTTTTCACTTTGATACCCCCCCCCCTTCCCCTTCCACCCCCCCTTCCTCCCCCCCTTCCTCCCCCCCTGCCTCCCCCCCCTCCTCCCCCGTTTCCCCCCCCCACCACAACGCGCACCTTTTCCGCTCACCGGTCCAAATCCTCGAACCGCGACAGCAGCGGATCCTTCACCGTGAGCGCTGAGGCCTCGTCCGCTAAGCGCGCCTTCTCGGCACCCGACAAACCCCGGGCGCGCTCCAGCAGGGAGGCCACCTGCACGAGAAACAGGCGAGTCCACAAAAAGGGCTTGAACAACCCCCGCCCCATTTCAGAACAAAAAAGAGGGGTTGAAACACACCAACAAAAACAAAAACGAAAGAAACGGAGGCTGAAAAGCCCGACTTGGGCCCAGACGGCTTCAACAAAGAACCATGGAGCTGGATGGCCAAATGCATAGGTGTCACGCCCAGCGCAGGCAGGCAAACGCGTAGGTGTGTCGTTTTGTTGAAACATCACCAAGTTGTGCCCCCCCCATTTTGTGACAAATCCAAATGCAAAACATATGGCCATGGGTCAAAAGCCCGTACCCCCAGTGAACATCCCAATCCCCAGTAAAATAGACTAAAATGGGTGGTGCACCTACCCCAAAACGGGATCTCATTGGTTTTGACCCATGGCCCATGTGTGCTCCGGAAGCATCGCCTCAAATTCAATCACCGTGGCATGACACGTGGCCGATGCCACAGCGGCAACCTGAAACCCAACAGTTGTTCAGAACCATGTTTCTGGGGGCGAGGGACGGAATCCCCGCCCAAAAAGAAATACACCAAAAAATGAATGGCCGGCCAGGTCCTTGATACATCCCAACACGACACATCCCAAATAGGATCCCCCAAAAGATGCATCTCAAGAAATCCTTACCCGTTCTTGCCAACCATCATGAAAGTGGAACGTCCTTTGATGGTCTTCCAAAACGGATGGTCCACTTCCATCATTCGGAGGGCAGCCCCCTCCTTCGATGTCGCTTTTGCAGGGGCCTCGAGCGCTTGCGTTTCCAACTGCTGGATGTTGGACTCCACTGTGCCGGCCCGCGAGAGCGCCTTTGCGAGGTCTCCCTTGGCCTCCTGCTAGGTCCAACCCTTTGGAAGCCATGCAGAGCGAGCCCAACCACGCATAGAAAAAAAGTCTCCAATCCAACCAGGTGGAAACACACACCCCACCTTCTTTGAGCTTCAAGTGGTTCAACCGGCTTCAGCCCCAGCCGCCCACCACCAAGGCCCCCACCCCACCCCACCAAGTCGATGAAGCTTTTATTCGCCCGGAAAAAAAAAGAAAATCCACCAGAAACCCGTTCCCATCGGCCATGTCCAACACAACAAAAACCAAACCATCCACTGAAAACCATCCACCCCATTCTGACCCATTCCGCTCAGCTCCGATGGCTCCCCGGTGGCTCCTCCAGCCGCTGCTGCAGCGGGTACTTCTCCTCCAGGAACTCCCGCGCCTTCGCCTCGTCGCCCGCCTCCAGCGCCGCCTCCGCCTTTGCCAGCAGCGAAGAGGTCTGGTCCTCCAGGCGCACCACCTGTCGATCGGGGTCGAGCTGGAGGCCGTTGGATCAGGTCGCCTCTCACTGTTGGGTTGTCTCCCCAACCATTTGTCACATGCTTGTTGTCTTGTTCTTGTCTGGAACCTTCCTGGAACCCGCGCAGACCCGAAACGGGAAGATGATAACATCCTTCCACGAGAAACCAAAGCACACCGGCAGGCAAACAAATTGGAAAACAAAGTGAAGCGAAGGGAAAATCAAAGGGACCGGGAAGTCGTACAGAAACCAAACAAACCCTTCCCTCGCTCCCCACCCCTTAAGCGTGGTACCTCATTCTACCCGGAACGCAGTAGTTTGAGGGTGGAAACCCATTTGCCATTGGAAAGTTTAAAGATATGACATTGGCGCACCAGCTTGCGGACTGGCTACCATGACTCTTCTTGCCATGCCTTTGAATCGGTAATGGAACCGACATATGCCACGGTAAGCCTCTCACTCACGAACATGGAACCTGACTGGGGGCTGAGAGAAGACAATTTCTGCCTTGGGTTCCTTTGGTGGGTTCCACATTCGTAGGTGGGAAAGGATGGAAGCTCTGGGGGCGGTCCTACCCCAATGCACAGGTGGGGGATATCCGCCCTTACGGGAGCTGGGGAAGGCTTCTTTAGGGTTTTGATTGTGACTCACATGGAGATCTGCGCCCGAAGGTTTCTGGCCCCTATTTGTCTCTAGTCACAAATATGCTCCTATGGCTCACCTTGCTACGGCAAGGAGAATCAGTATATGCGATCGGGGCTGTCAAAATGCTGTTGGGTGAAAGTGAATGACACAATTCTTCCAATGTTGGTTCATCCCCTTTGACTGATGTCCCGTTTTCAGTGGGAACTCTTTCTTCCAGGGGACTTTCTGATCAATAACCGAGGGATTTCTGCTCTGACCCCGTAGAAAGGTTTTGCAGGCTTGCCTCCATTGTTCTTGTTGGAACCTACAAAAGTGGCGATCGTGTCAATGGACACCACCAGGAAAATGATCAACTTTTGGGGGGGACCCAGTGACTTCTCTAACAACGGTTTGCTTGTTCTTGAAAGCTCGCCAGCCACCTTTCGGGCGAGGGGGGGGGAATCCAGGGAAGAAAGGAACCTCCAACAGTGGCGATCGTTTCAACGGAAGCCACCGGCAGATCAACTCATCAACTTTGATCAACTTTTGAGCCCGAAGTTTTGGCACCGCCGTTCAACGCCGCGGCTGTTCCGACCTTGGCGGCCACATCGTCCTTGATGGACACCACCCGCTGCTTGCTTTCCATCGCGTCCGCCAGCTCCCGCGCCACCGACTGGGCCAGCTTCACCATGTCCTGGGGCATAGTTGCACGCCGCTGTACATACATGACATACATGTATACGAATATATATATATATATATATTTATACATAGACATAGACATATATATATATATACATGAATTTTGGTATGTCTCAGCCATGATGTCCATTTGAGGTCTGTCATATATACCCAAAAAGGCACAAGTGTTCGCCCGTTTCTGGGGACGTGTTCTTTTGGTTCCCCTTCGAACCAATGTCCTCGTCCAGGTCATCCGGGGGCTCCGGCGCCTGCCGCTTCTGGCGGCCCCAGTCGGAGCCCAAGCTGGCGCCAAAGACCGCGCCGAAGGGACCTGCCGTCCGATCCAACGACTTTCCATGTCTGGGAGGCAGAGGAGGTTGTGGGAGGCAGAGGAAGTTGTGGGTGACTTGTGCTCCCTGGACCACTGGATGTTAAAGCTTTCTCGTCCCTGCCTAGCAGCAAGCCTCCCAGCACCGCCCCGCCCACTGCACCCTCCAGCGAGCCCTCCTCCTCCTCCCGCCGCGGCGGCGGCGGCGCGCGCCGGCCGACGCGGCTCAGCCGCTGTAGGGCCTCGTCCTTGCCCCCGGCGGCCAGGCGGGCCGTCGGGGTCTTCCGCGCAGCCGGCCCCAGCCAACAGACGTTCCAAGCGGCGAGGGCCAAAGCCAAAGCCCAAGCGCCGCGGCGCCGCAACTGGGCCATGCCGAAGCGAGGCACTTGGCAAGCGCCAGAAACAAAAAGCAAATATCCGAACAAAGTCGGCCGGTGCACGGAGCGAACCCCGGGCTGGATTTGTTTTTTTGGCAGTGTGCTGGAGATTGGGGCCAGTGATAGCACGCTGGCATCCATCACGTGTGGCTTGTGAGAGACTGTGAGTACATTCTACTGGACCAATCGGCGAGGGCCAAATCCAGAGGCACATCCCCACCACAACTTGGGTTCTCCATGTGGCGCCAGTGTTGAGAACTATCCCCAAGGCAGCCAGGGCAGTATTCGGAGCAACCATTCAAGGAAGCAACGTCACAATTCCTGCTAGATCATGTCAATGCTTTTGGTTGGAGCCAACCCCCCCAAACCGCTGAGCCGGAGCCCTTTTGGCAATCCTAGGGCCACCGGACGGAACTGAGAGCCAGGGCATCTTGGCCATCTGCATCTGCCACAGGGTCTGGCAGGCCGGGATTTGTTTTAAGCTGTGAATCAGTGACCCCCCAAAAAAAACTAGAAACTGATCAAAGTGCCAGGACCTTGAGGGAATGTCTCAGAAAAAGGTTTGACCAAGTCGCGGGTCTTTCCTGGAAGCTTCAAAGGTAAGATTGTTCCTTTCGGCCCTCTGTGCGCCTCGTCCACATCCAAAGGGACAAGGATGACCTCGAAGGCCTCTGCACCTGAGGCGATCGTTTGCTAAACTTCTGGCGGTTGCAAGTGCTGAAGGCTCTGCCCCTGTGGCACTCTGCGCGTGCGGGTTGCAATGGGCAAGGATATTGCAGACTGGAGGTATGACCTTCTGCCTAACTCGATCCACAAGGATTGTTTGCATTGACTTCATCGAACCTCCGGACGTGGAAGGCGTATTCGAAGTACGATCGGCCTTTCAAGAACTCCACGTTCAACCACAGCATCCCCAAAACCGGGAGGCCTTGAAACCGAAACCACCCCCACCCCCATTCCTAGGCTCCCAGCCGTGGGTGTCGCGGATCTGCTGATAGCTCTGCGCCAAGATGGGCACGAAGTACTGGCAAGGAGGGCACCTCAAGCGCCCGATCTCGGAGCTCCGGCCCGGAAAACGCGGACGGCGTGGGGTCGGGAGTGGGGACTCGAGAAAATGGCCTTCTGAAGCCCAAGGCCAACTTCTGGCAGGCCAAGGCCAAGGCCATTTCCCGCACAAAGGCGTGTTGGGTGAAGGGGAAGTCCTGAGGCGGCCAGAGGCCAAATTCCCCAAATATTCGACTTCCCAAAGGGACCTAGAAATACAAGGTCCACGTTTGGGGACCTCGACTAAAGATAGACCAACGAGGGCTCCGGTCAGGTCCGGTCAGATCCGGTCGATTCGTTGAGAGCTGTAAGTGAGGTCCGCGCCAGGACGCCGAGAAGTACAGGGCCACCATCTGGTTCCAGAGGCCCGCCCCACTCACCTGCAGCTCAAAAAAAAACGTGGCCGCTGGGTTTGCCCTACAGCCTCGTAGGACTCAGAAACCGGACTCCGGAAACCCGGATGGAGGGGATGGAGGCAGGAGGCACGGGAGGCTGTAGCGCGTGCCAGCCTCCCGGGCATCCTCGCAGTGGATCAGGGTTTGCAACCTGAGCTCGCCGGCACCCGTGTCTTGCGTGACGAACCTCTGTACATCCAAAACAAAATCTGCCGCACGGAAACCCCCCCCCAAACTCCTTTGCACGACAGAAGTGCCGGAAAAGGACGACAACCGGACTGAATATCATCCAAGAAAGAGCCACTTGGCTGTTGTGGTCTTCCATCGGGCTATGAATCCCTTCCTTCCTGTGTACCCATTCCAGCCAAAGTTGTCATGCACCTTTGTTCGCATCGGAAGAACAACTCAGGGCAATGCCAGCTTCCAACAGCCGTTCAAACGGCGATAAACAGATTTATATACCCTGTGACGTGAAAACGCACACAAGCTCGCCCTGTAGACATCTTCCCTGAACCTTTGCAGTCCAGCGTGCTGGATTTCGGAGGGGTTATTCATGGCCAGACGGTCAAAATGCAATGCTGCCGAACCTAATAAATTCCACTGGACTGGAAACGACCGTTTCTCCAGGCCTGAAAGCCCGGTTGAAAGAGAACCCCGGCGATCGGCACAACTTGGGCGACACGCCGGGGTGCAACAAGTATGGACCATCTAACAAGCTCCAGCCAGGGACCCATCATTCAGTTAAAGGAACGCGGCTATCTTACCCTGACATTGCAAAGACCCTTACTTTCGGTTTTCGCTCACATACGAATATTAAAGCAAAAACAAAAACAAACTAACTATGGTCGAATGCAATTGTCTACAACCCCAAAAACCAAAAATAGCCGCAGAGCTGCCCTCCCAACCTCCAAACCCATCCGCGGCGCCACGAGAAGGCAACGTTGGAGTTCCGCCTTCGCAACCTTCCCAGGGAAGCCATCCGCTCGAGC